CATGTCTTTGTACTTGTGGGGGAAACCAGAGCACCCGGAGGAAACCCACGCGAACATGGGAAGAACATGCAAACTCCACACAGAAATGCCAACTGACCCAGCCAGCACTTAAACCAGCAACCTTCTTGCTGTAAGGCGATTATGCTACCAACTGCGCGCCACCATGCTGCCATCTTAACATTTAGTTATATATTTAATTCAAATATTGCTTTACTGAGTTGTATGAAAAAGCTATTACAATGCACACTGAAAACATATACAAATTAATATAATATAATATAATATAATATAATATAATATAATATAATATAATATATTATAGTGTCATTAAGAAATTGTATAAATGTAAACATGTGCATTTAAAGCATGACCGGACAACATTTTAAAACATGTGTCAGTTCGTGACCAACAACATTATAAACCATGAGAAGCAGATCATTTTGACATGAGTATGAATATTAAAAATCCATACAGTACTTGTCACAGTGAGTACATTAATAATAAAAATAATAATGATTTGTAAAATGCATGCAATTTCTGACATAATTAAAAAAACATAATTCTCATTAATAAACTCTACATTTTTTAATTGTATAGCATTTTAAAAAGAAAGAGAAAACAAACCGACTGTGGAAGATATAATTGAGATTATCTTTCATTTAGATTAACTATTAGTGAATAAAAATACAGTATTTAATTAAAGGTGAAGCAAGAGTTAGATCTATGTCCTCTATAGTCCCTAACAAACATGAATATTAAATAACATAGATCCACAAATGGGTTATTAAGTGAATTCAAACACAGCAGATTTGCAAATATTGAATTACAGGGTTACTTACCACCTGTCAGTGTGTAATGCAGTTTCCACTGCTGTTTACTTGTGAAATAAGAAGAAACGCTGCTCCTCCACATATGAGCGATCTGTCTGGGTCGCGCACAATGACAGGATGAGATGCAGCAGCAGCGCAGATCTGGACAGAACGCTGATGCTGAACAGTCGATTTTACTGACATCTAGCTGCAGCAGTGTAGCATCACACAGTTCCTACTCCAACACACTTGAAGATAAAAAAAAACCTGAAGAACTCAAATAGTTTAAACAGGTGTCTTTAATTAAGATTAAAGCTAAACTGTGCATAGCTGCAGCCAGGGGCGGATTAACCAGTAAATTAGGAAAGCGAGCAAGGGGCCCAGGTAATCTGGGGGCCCTATTGATTATCTAAAACAGTGGTTCTCAAACTTTTTTTCATCAAGTACCACCTCAGAAAAAAATTGTCTCGCCAAGTACCACCAAAATGAGCAGTATTGAAATACAATAGCGTAGTAGGCCTAGTAAAGCAGCTACACCTCTGCACAGTTAAAAAAAGTGGCAGATTACCTTAAAAATATAGGCTATATGCCATATATGGAATATTATATACATTATTTTTGATAAATTTTTAAATGTGTGTAGCATGTACATGACATATTTCATTCCTCCGCGTACCACTAGAAGGAAGCCTGCGTACCACTAGTGGTACAGTACACGTACCACAGTTTGAGAGCCACTGATCTAGAATATAAATTAAATTAAACTATATGCTACATTCTTTTCAATCATATTTTGCATGGTTAGAGCTAAATAAATTAAGATTTTAATGTTATTAAAGAGTATTTAGTATAGAATCGAATATAATATTATATAAATGTACTGTTATGGAATAATAATATTACAAAATAAAATAAATACCTATCATGGAGCAGTGCGGCAGTCAATTATATATATATATATATATATATATATATATATATATATATATATATATATATATATATATATATATATATAATATTATTTTTAGTTTTAAACCTATTTTAAGAAAACTAATCATTAAAAATTTAGAGATTGCATTAATTTAAAATGTAGAAAAGAAGATAAATAAAAGTAGTAAGGGTGCATGTCAAGACCTGGGATGATGGTCCTTATTGCACATTTTGTTAACTAAAAGTTTCATTGCAACTACATGCCTCTATTTCTCATTTGAGTATTAGATTGTCTGCTTAATTTCTGCTGATACTGCTCCTTCAACAGACATTTAACCTTATTTTCTATAAGAAACTTTGCAAGTACAAGTCAACTCACATTAACCCTAATCCCAACCCAACAGTCTACTTATAATCTAGTGAGAATTAGTTGGCATGTACACTGTAAAAAATTTTAAGCCAGTTCAACAAAAAAAATCTTAGTACTAATTTCCTTCTGTTTTTTCTTGTTTACTCAACTTTTGAAAACATCAGCTACACTGACTGAAAATAATTTGTCAGTGAAACAAAAAATGTCTAGTTGAGTCAACTTAACATTAGTAGTTTTCTGGAAACCTGCACCTGCAGCACAACAAATATTTTTAAGTTGTGCAAACTGAACATTTCTTGTCTGCAGGACTGAAATGACAGAAGTTGAGTGAACAAGAAAAAACAAAAGGAAATTAGTACTAAGAAATTATATGTTACCAGAGCAAAAGTTGTGTTAACTGAACATTTCTTGTCTGGATGGCCTGAAATGACAGAAGTTGAGTGAACAAGAAAATACAAAAGGAAATTAGTACTAAGAAATTATATGTTACCAGAGCAAAAGTTGTGTTAACTGAACATTTCTTGTCTGGATGGCCAAAAATGACAGAAGTTGAGAGAACAAGAAAATACAAAAGGAAATTAGTACTAAGAAATTAGATGTTATCCGAGCAAACACACATGGCTCTGTTTTTTTAAGTTCTGCTGACTGAACATTTCTTGTCTGAATGGTCTGAAACTACAGAAGTTACATGAACCAAAAAAATACAATTGGAAACTAGTACTAATAAATAAAATGTTATCGGAGTAAACACACATGGAAAAAAAAGACATACATTTTACCAAAACATTCATTTTCTTGCGGTTCTTCACTAAAGTACAAAAACGAGGTAGTGTATCTGTAAAAAAAAAAAAAAAACAAAAAAAAAAAACAAACACTAAGTCAAATTAATCACATGAAAAGGAAACAATTATATTAAATATATAACAATTACAGCACATCTCTGAGACTACCTAACACTATCAATTTTAATAACCTTAGAATATCCCATAAATTATTCACAACACCCTGCTGAAAAAACAGCGTAAGCTGGTAAGGTATGTTTTGATGCTGGTCTCAATGCTGGTTTTGCTTGTCTCAATGCTGGTCTTGCTGGTTTCAGTGCTGGTTTTGCTGGTCTAAGTGCTGCTCCTGACCAGCATTGAGACCAGCAAGACCAACATTGAAACCAGCATTAGGACCAGCATAACCAACATTAAGACCAGCAAAACCAGCATTAAAACAAGCAAGACCAGCATACCAGAATCAAAACATATACCTTCCCAGCATATGCTGTTTTTTTTTTTTTTTTTTTTTCAGCAGGGCAATTAGAGCAATCAATCTGAATTACTAGTTGCCTTGAGATATAAATCTTAGTATTTGTTGTAATTCATTTCAAAATCTATACTTGCATAATTACATGTTTTGGCCTAGTACCTTGGCTGGTCATGGATAAATATGATATTAAAACTGCCAGTAAAGGATCTTACTTTAGTAATAAGTGTTCCACTGTATACACCTTCAGTTCAAAATGAACGATTTATTACTATTATTTTGGTTTTGATTTGATTTTGTTTGCTTAATATAATAATAAGCAGTTGGAATATACGCGCTGTCACTTTAAGAGCCACCCTAGATAGTAAAATACACTTGGGCCAGTTCCAGCTAGATTCGCTGCCGCATCCGAGCCAGAATCGGCCCGTGAGTAATGTGCGCTGCAGCCCGGAGCTGGCGCAACTCAATATACCTTGATATAAAACCTTTTGGTATTATATTGGTACTTGATACATGGTATTACAACCATTTGCATTTATATACCAGCAAACGCAGGCTATAATGTAAAGGCAAAGTGTAGGTTCAACCTTTGAATAAAATGCAAACAGCATACATATCCAATAACAAAAATTATCAAACAAAGGACAAAATAAATAATAATAAACATTTATTGATTGCAATAAACAAATAATACTAAACTTGAATAAAATATTTTGTAGTGCACAAGTAATAATAAAACTACACAATAAAGACACACAGGAAGATTTAAAGACAAAATCTGAAATTGCACACATACACAGAAGTTTTTAAAACAACCCTGTTTTCCCAATAGACTTGAATTATAAATTGTACAAAACACATCTTAAAACAGCTTAATTTTATATAAACCTGAATATAGAAACCAATTTAAGATATAGCAAGAAACATCTTACAAATACCCATGACAATATGTAAAATATACAAGTCAAAAATGTAAAAAGAACTGCAGAATTCTTAAGAAACATTTTTAATAAATGTAATAAATAAAACATAATAATACATTTAAATGAGTGAGATGATTATATATATATATATATATATATATATATATATATATATATAAATAATTTGACTTGTATATCTTTATATGTCTTGTGCAATTTGTTATTAATATTTTTATTATATTATGTTAATTAAAAATGTATTAAGATGCTTTTTCAGAATTTAGCATATTTAGCATATGTAAGAAACATCTTACAAATACCCATGACAATATGTAAAATATACAAGTCAAAATTGTAAAAAGAACTGCAGAATTCTTAAGAAACATTTTTAATAAATAAAACATAATACATTTAAATGAGTGAGATGATTATATATATATATATATATATATATATATATATATATATATATAAAATTTGACTTGTATATCTTTATATGTCTTGTGCAATTTTTTATTAATATTTTTATTATATTATGTTAATTAAAAATGTATTAAGATGCTTTTTCAGAATTTAGCATATTGTCATTTTATATATATATATATATATATATATATATATATATATATATATATATATATATATATATATATATATATGTATATATATATATATATATATAAATTGCAAATAAAAGAAACAAATTACCCAAGTATCAGGGAACATCTTAATACACTTAAAATGTTGTTTAAAAAATAAATTATTGATGTAGACATTTGACACATTAGCTTTCTCTTCTTCCCTCCTTCCTCCAGCCCTGTCAGGAGCACGTTGTAGCCACCTTGTAATGCATTTTTCCACTTCTTTATCAGTGATGTGGTATGGACATTTCTCCTCACTACATCTGTGATTAAAAGATAAACAAACAATTAGTAGTGAAAAAGTACAAATGAAAAAAGAAAGATGCTTGCTCTCATATAAGTACAACCTAAATGGGACTATATATAGATGTTTTGTTCGTTTGATTAATGATTCAAAGAAATACACAGATGGAACTGCCCCTAATTGTACTGAAATGTATATTTAAAACCAACTTACTGACTAGACAGTCGTAAGGGAGAGTGCATGAAAGGCCACATTTTGGTTTGCCCTGCTCCAGTTAATTTGTTCAGCCAAAAAGTGAGCCAAAAGCTTTCCCGGGACACACCAAACTGCTTAGTGGAAAACACCAATGATTCCAAAGTAGGCTACCTACGAAGCAAAAAAACATATAAATAAATAAATAAACATAAAACACTTAGAAATAAGCAAGAAACTTACCAGTTTCTTCATTTGTTCGGGCTGCTCGTTTAGTTGATTTTCAAGTTTTTCCAAATCAATTTGGACAAAGAAAGGTCAAATGTGTTTACATCTGGAATTTCATCACGTCTGTTTTGGTTTTGCTGATTTGTGAGAATCAGGCACAGTTGCTGCTTTATGACGTCACATGATTTTAAAACTTTTTTTCAGTCGTGCTAAAAAAGAAAAATAACAAATTAGTATAAATCAACCTGTTGCTTATTCTCATGCAACTTGTGTAAATACAACAGTGGGTTAGACACTGCTGATATTCTCTAGTTGATCTTTACTTTCTAGCTGCATTAAGCCATTACAAATTTAGTGATGTCTTAAATTCTTACAAAGACATGACGAGTTGCAATAAGATGTCTTGATCTCCGACTGCACTTGAACAAGGACTGTAAATGTTCATAGATGTACTGGAATGTACAGCATCTGTGCATCTTGATGGTGTTCTTAAGGATCCTGCCATAGTCATTGGTGGTGATGGTACTTGCGGTGCTGCATCAATTTCTGAAATCTTCATATCAGTTTTTTCTCCAGCCTCTTTGTTCCAAATAATTTTTCTTCATCACGTTCACTATAGTTGTGTCTTTAATGCCCCTTGATCAGATACATTTACAAAACAAAACATTATTTTAGTATAGTGCAGGACACTAGATCAATGACAATGGCAGTGTAATAGATCAATGACATAATGTTGACAGTATGTGTTTAAAATAATTGCAAACAAACCTGTTCTTTCTTTAGGTGTATGACGGGCAATCACCGTCCTCATCTGTCAGCAAGCCAAGCTGAGTCGAGCTTCCTCATGTGTGTCTATAATAAAACATCACATTGTTGTTAACCTCCCCTCAAAAAGTTAAAATCCTGAAATACTATCAAAGTTAATTAATGGCTATAATACCTATGGTGTAAATAATCAGCACACAGGATTTATTCAGAGATTCATGCAGAGAGACAGCCTTATGAATCTTAGACATAGATTTGTAAGATGGTCAAGCACATGCATTATTCTGTACCCATGAAGATTAACCTACCATTGTGGAAAATGTTTGATGATGATGATAGCCAATAACAATAAATCATTTCAGCTGTTTGTGAAGCAATTAGTAATGTAAAGTCTGAAAAGCTCAATCTATGTTGAAAATGTATCAGCAGTTTACAGCATGGACTTTAATCACCCAACTATAACATGCCTATTCACATGTTCATAAGAATGTGCTATTGGTCTCTGTGATGTGCTACAAAATGACCTCACTAACCTTTGTTAAACAAGAACAGTAAGACTTAACCAAAAAAATATTCATTTATACCCATTCATTTAAATCAGAAAGTATAACTGTCAATAACCAAAAAATAAAACCCATCAAAATCTGCTTTAAGAAATTTAGTTTTACATGCGCAAACTACAACTTGAACATAAGATATAATTGATTCACATAGGCTAACACATATAAATTAAAGCACATACTAATATATTTCTCTTAATAATAGAATGATAATTTAAAGAGAACAGTAAACGATCACTGATGCACTGCATAAACAAGTTAAACAATAACTTAAGAATAACCTAACACTGTGAAAATGTTTTAAGCATTAAATTCGCAAAGTATACAGTATGCAAGCAGCAAAAACCTTACCTTTCTGACCGGAATCCACTGTTTTGAAACGCCAAACTTCTTTTTCTTCTTGTGATCATCATAGCGGTTGGCAACCAGCTTTTGGAACATTACCGCCACCGTCTGGATTGGAGTTTGGACCAAGAGTTGACTCACGCATGTGTTTCTTATGAAACCAAACTTCTGCTTAAAAAAACAGTCTGCATGGAAGCGTGCTATCTCGAAAATAAGCGCATTTTACACTGTTTTCCCTAGATGATATATATAATCCATTTATAAATAATATTGTTTTGTTTGCATCTAAACATTGCGACCATCCACACTAAATGTTTTTATTATTTTGTTGCTGTTGTACCATATATATTTTCTCAAATTATCATTAAACGTGGAGCTAACAAATTACTAGATAAAATAAGAATTTAATCGGTTGTCATCAGTTACACAAGCCGAGTCCTTATACGAGCCGAGACAGACTCGGGCCAGATAGGGTTAACAGGAATCTGGCCAGTGTTTACAGCTGCATCACAAACGCATGTGCGCGAGCGAGCTGCGGGCCACACTCCGCCCGTATAACACTCGTTGATGCCGAGTCGGAGCCGGAGGCGCCGAAGGGCAGCCGAGCTCGGGCCGATTACTTCCTGCTACCCGGGGCATGGATATGATTTACGTTAACACAAATATTCATTCACTCTTATCACATAACAAAGAGAGATTATGTGAATAATCACTAAGCGCCGCATCTGCACACATTTTTGCGCGTATATGATGAACATTTAGGAGGACAAATTTAGATAAAGTGTCTTAAACAAAGAACTACAATCTTTGCACACTTACTATTTAGATTGCTCTTCCACGGCTTGCCTCTTTCCCAACCGAAGTACAATGCTTTCAATTTCTCCCGCCTGAGACGTTGACGTTACGTAAGCGCAACCATCGTAACGAGGGCGTGGTTTAGCTCAGGACAGAATGATGCTATATCGTCCTTTGAAAAACATATTTTTGAGTGCGTGGTTTATTTTTAAATATTGGAATATCAAAGTATGCCTTTCTTTTTTTAAAGGGTAATGAATAAACACGAGATGATAATGTGCGTGCAAGCTTATTTCTGCAAATGTGCACCAAATAAAGTTAAATTGCAAATGAAAAGTTTCAAATAAAGTTACTATAAGTATTGTAGTGTTTTTTGTTGTTTTTAATAAATGTGAAGAATAACGATATTTATTATTGTATTAATAATAATAATAATAATAGCATTCTCACTCAGCATTTACTTTTTAATACAAACCATGAAAGGTTCTATACTCATTCATTCATTTTCTTGTTGGCTTAGTCCCTTTATTAATCTGGGGTCGCCACAGCGGAATGAACCGCCAACTTATCCAGCTGGTTTTTACGCAGCGGATGCCCTTCCAGCCCCAACCCATCTCTGGGAAAAGGTTCTATACTGCCATTGATAATTTTTTTAGAATATTTAACATGTTTGAAACCTTTTCAATCAACAAAAGGTTGTGCTACTTGTATATTCATTGCATTAAAAAAGTCAGAGATTGACTTAACACAAAAAAACAAGTTGGCAGATGCTTTTTTGAATGAACTAGCAAAGTGTTGCTCACAAAACTCATCTTTTTAACTTAATGAATAAAATCTTTGTTTAAGTTGATTGAATGTGTTAAATGTAGTTGTACAGACTTTTTTACAGATTTTTGCTGAACCAACAAAAAAAATCAAGCAATTTCAACATTTGTCAAGTTGGATTTTTTACAGTGTAGATGCAGTGTCACTTAAATTCAACAAAATGCATAAAACAGACCATCAAAATAAAGTGATGCCGAAGGTTAGAAAAAAACCTGTGTAAAAACTTTGAATGGTGTAAGAAAATCATGTAAATAAGTAATTGGCATGAATATATGTTTGTTCTGCTAATTAAAATGTCAGAAAATCATTGAAAATGATTATATCAATTGATGATTTATTGGTTTGGACTCACATTTTATGACTTTTAAGGTCAGAGCTGCTTTCTGGATCTTGTGTAGAACTATGTACAAACGCTGGAGATGGCCTTCTCAGGTTTTATTGTAGATAACTACATCATCCAGGTAAGTTGTGCTTCAGTCCTCACAACCTTGCAGTATTTGATCCATAAGGCATTGAAAGGTTGCTGGGGCCCCATGTAACCCAAAGGGCATGGTAGTAAACTGATAGAGGCCCACAGGTGTCTGAAAGGCAGTGTATTCTCTGAAGATCTTCTCTAGTGGCACCTGCCAGTAACCCTTGCATAGGTCCAGTGTTATACAATATTTTGCTCTCCATACCCTCTCAACGAGCTCAAAAGTGGCATAGGGTAGTCATCAAACTTTAATACATCATTCAGCTTTCTAAAATCCAGACATAGCCTTATTGGCACAAGCACTTTTGGACTACTTCACACACTTGTCGAAGATTCGATCACGCCCATGCCCATCATCATCTTGACTTCTACCTTCAACAGGGTTATCAAGCTCTTAGGTACTCGATAAGGTCATTGTCTAATTGGTGTTGAGTCAGTCAAATAGATAGTGTGCTCTACCAGGTCCATGTGAGTTGCTGGCACATAACACTGTATAATCAGTAACCTGTGCGTATGTGTGTATTCAATCTGTCCATTGACCACAGCGTCTACTGTAGGCAGTTCTAATTGCTAGCACGAGTCAAACAAGCCAGTCACCATGTCTCTACAATGTTCTGATGCTGAGATAGAGCTGTTGATAAATGATTGCTTGGGTACTCTGTTTTGTTGCTTTGGATGTTGTCAAATGAGCCCACCCCCTGTCTATTTGACACTGCTATGCAAAGATATTTATCTGGGCCTGTTATAATGGAAGTCTATAGACCTTTTTCTTGGAACGCAAAATTACCCATTATGCTTTGCGTGTATGCGCAAGGAGAATGCGAAGAACTTCCGGTCGGCAGCTGATGCGTGTAAACAGTCACATTTGGACAGCTTTGAAACGATAGTTTTAATCTATTTTACCTGCTTTTATCCTCTTTGAACTAATACTGTTGTCCATCAGCACCATCTCCTGGCCTGATCATTTAAAGAAATGCGATCTAATAGGATGGAAAACAGCTGCTGTGAGGCGTTTTCCCCTCGTTGTCAGACGGCATCTTCTGCAGTTTAAGAGAAGCCTTGACATCGCTAAAGTCAACATTTTCTCTTTATTTCAAATATATAACCAGCCCAAACAAATGTAATTCACCAAAAAGCCTGTACTGTGCCACTGACACACTGATTTAATAACTGTGACAAAGTGAAAATATAGGCTAGTGTCATTTCGAAATGACAGAAAAACACAAACCGTGGTAAAAACAACACACAAAATAAAACACAAACGGCTCGCGATTAGAATGAACAGCAAATCAGCCAGCAGAGTATCAATAACAGACTTTTATTGGTCATTTTTGTAAAATTGCACGACTTTCATACCTGTTAAGTTTCATGCCAGTACTCTTTGCTCTCTCTCTCTCTCTCTGTGTGCGTGTGTTAAAGACCCATTTTTCTCGTATTTCTGACGCGCTTGAACCACGTGACAGATTATAACGGCTTTAACAGACACAATTCTAAGTTGTGTGTCACAAAAACACTCTGTTATCCAATAAAAACGTTATTGAAACCCATTTTCGGAGCGCAAATTACCAGTTGTACACGCTGTAAACAGAAGTTTTTAGCATTCTACAGGAAGACGCTGGTCGCTATGGCGCCCTCCATACAGCAGCCATGAAAAAGGTCTATAGAGCTTAAATTGTTTCGGAGGGCATAGTTTGAGAGCCTCGTTATCATATTGAGATGCTTATTGTTTGTCTTGGTCAAATGAGCCCACCCCCATTTCTGTATTCACTTTAATACTGAGATGCTTATAGACCCTTTTCACGCTTCCTAGTTTCTCAGTAGCGGAAGTTGTCATAGCTGGGTAAAATTAAAGCGCAGTCAGTGGGAGAATGCAACAAATAATTTTTCCGCAATTCTATTTGCTGAAATAATCAAAGAAAAACTCTTCGATGGTGTTATTATTGGTGTTGTGTGAGACTGATGAGGGCAGCCAGAGGAGAGAATCAATGTTAAATTTACTCTCAGCCCCTTAGACGCTACATTAGAAATACCTCGCATAATCGGTAATTCCTTTTTAATAATTTTGACGCAAATATGGTATAATACATTCATAAATACATATAAATATTCATACATTTTTTGAAAATCAAAATTGTAAAAACTTTAAAGGATTTAGGATGCTGATGACCGTTAAACGCATCATGACAGACTTGTAAAAGGGTCCATTGTTTGTCTCAGTTAAACGAGCAAACCCCAATTTCTGCATGACACTGCTATGTTATTGATATTTGACCCCCTTTGGGGCCGAAAATCCCCTTATAAAAGTCATAGCACATCATTCACAATAAATCCGCATGTTTTGACCCCACTCTCAAGGGTCTGCGATAAAAACTGTAGGATTAGATACGAAACCAATATCTTTGTCCGGAATTGCAAATAACAAATGGTGAATACCAACAGTGCAGTTGCCTAAAGGCAGACCCTAATAATCAACAACTTTAGCTTACCAAACAGAACAGTCCAGTGCATTTTAAATTTTCATTATTTTTATTTCACTGGCTAATACATTTCTGATGTAATTTGAACAATAAATGAAAAATAAAAAGGTACAGTATATATGCTTAAAAAAAGAATGAAAGACTGATGAAAAAAAAACATATACATTAACAATACTTTAAATAATAATACTAGCATCTCGAGAAGTATATATTGAATCAACAAAAACAAACGAGTACAAATTAATTCAACACTTGATTTTAAATATTTTAAAGAAGGAAACAATTTACAAATGACACAAATAATATATTAAAACAAATGACATCCCTAAAATAGAGTCAGACAGACTGTTACGTTAGTCATACTGTCACTTTAAATGTAATTGTATTGTATTGTGCATAATAACCACGCAAGTGGTTTACACTTCATGTAAAAGCACATTATTAAATGCCCTCTCATCCATTTATCCATTATGTACAGCAACAACAACAACAGCAACAACAGTATTATTAAAAAACAGAAACTGTATTTTTCTTGTATGAAATTGAGCCCCCAAAACTTTGTGAGCACCAAATGAACTGTGTTAACTAAAAAAGACAGCAGAGCTCACATAGGCAGTGTGTGATGATCCAAGAATAAACTGGCATCAAAAACATTGTTAATGTTCTTTAATTCCTATACTGTGGAAAATACTTGACTATTAAAATAAATAAGTAAATAATATATTTATACAACAGTTCTGTCTGGTTCTCAAATCTGATTGGCTAATAGAAGTGTGATATTGTAGTAATATCAGCACTCCTACAGCCTCTTCACCCTTGTGTATCACTCTGCCCACATGAGTGCCAAGCACAAGACTAAACTTACTACAGTTTACAGTAGCAGCTGTTGGAAAACAGGCTTTTTATGTGAGAATGAAGTTGTTTAAATTGCAACTATGCTGTTTATTTATAAGGATAGCGCTTATTTGAAAATATGTTTGAAAAGCAGAAAGCAAGGAATAGATGGTCGATGTTCCACCACAAGATGGTGGCAGAGAACATATAATAAGTCCTTACAGGGAGAAAAATGGTTTCTTTTAGCGTACATTTAAAACTACAGCTGAACAAATCAGAACATGTAAGCTCCATTCTTTGTCGAGCTCTCTTTTGTATACCAAAGTCATCTAGTACTGTTTGCTTTGCTTGGTTTGGCTTGTTCGGGTTCATTTTTGTGAAAACAACCTGATTTCAACAGAAATCCTGCAAGATCTCTGTATACTGATGTCATTTCATTTTATCCCATCTAGCCTTATAACCTTAAAATGTGAGCAAATCATCTGTATTATCATCACTCAGACATTACAACACTTTACATTATGCAAGAGAATTATTCAAATACTAGTTCTAAAGTGATGTTTTTAAAAAGGCAACGGTTTCTGCTGTGCTGACGATCAGCTGCAGATGCAAATAAACGGCGGAAGAAAGTAGTTCCTCATACAAAATTTTTGAGACTCTCCGTGTTTGATTTTCTTCTTTATGAACATGATTATGCTGTCGAGTGTTGTATAAATGCATTATAACCCTTGATATGTATGTCTATATATCGTCACTGCTGGGATACTAAGGCACTTGGCTTGCGGCCTCAAACAGTGCTGTATCTATATTTATGATATTGCTCATATATATATATATATTTATATGACAGTGCATCCGGAAAGTATTCATAGCACTTCACTTTTTCCACATTTTTTATGTTACAGCCTTATTCCAGAATGGATTAAATTCATTTATTTCCTCAAAATTCTACACAAAATGCCCCATAATGACAATGTGAAAACTGATTTTTTTAAATTGTTGCAAATTTATAAAAAAAACCCACAAACCAAAATCCTATTGAACATATCTATAGAGATCTGAAAATGGCTAAACACTGTCTCTTCCCATCCTACCTGATATAGCTTAAGAGGTACTGCAAAGAGTAATGGGTAAAAATTCCCAAAGATAGGTGTGCCAAGCTTGTGGCATCATATTCAAAAAGACTTGAGGCTGTAATTGTTGCCAAATGTGCATCAACAAAGTATTGAGCAAAGGCTGTGAATACTTCTGTACATCTGATTTTTCAGGTTTTTTATTTCTAATAAATTTGCAACAATTTCAAAAAATCTTTTTACATATTGTCATTATAAGGTATTGTGTGTAGAACTTTGAGGAAATAAATGAATTTTATCCATTTTGGAATAAGGTTGTAACATAAAAAAAATGTGGAAAAAGTGAAGCGCTATGAATACTTTCCGCATGCACTGTATAAAAATCTTAAAAAGATCTGGAGAGTTTACCATTAAAATAATGCTGTGTCACTGAATCTAGTCCAGATGAAGTTATACTGGGGTGACACATTATTTGAAGAGTAAACTATACAAAGAAAGATAATACAAGATCAAAACCTTTGTCAAAATTGCGTAAAAATACATGATGTACAATAAAAATATTATATTCTTGTTCAAGAAATGGAAAAAAAAAGTCACACACACACTTCAATGTGCAAAATTAAACTGAGAAAAAAAACTAGATGCCTTGTGCAGAGTAAAATGAAAACCACTTATCATGCCCTACATTTACAAAAGCACCTAATGTTAATATAATACAGACAGATAGGCAGCATACTTAGGCCCTACTCACACTATGCTATCCGAACCGTGCCCAGGCCCGTTTCCCGGATCGTTTGAGAAATGTGAGTGCGCTGAATCAGGCTCAGGCCTGAATCGGCCTCTTAAGCGCGGTTCACTTGGGCTTTGTCGCGGTACGCTTGTGTATGAGTGCAAAATGCATCTAAGCCCAAACTGAAAGCAAGACGTGACTTTTAAGGGACTGTTTTAAGTATTCATAGATCATTCTTCTTGTACAGTGAATGCAAACTGTTGTAGTTTATTAAAGACCCGGTTTAAGGCAACTGTACATAGTGAGAGTACGCCCTTACAGCTTGCCAATCAGTGACATAATTATGTGAGATTCTAGGTAGTATTCAGATTGTGGATTACTTACAGATTACTTTTAGATTACTTTTGGCACACCTAGCTTTTAGGATTTGAACAAGACCTGAACAATTATTTGAGCATTTTGCAATTTAATCGAATCACAAGTACACTATTTGTCATTTTCGAATTATATTTACATAAGTTCCAATACCCAGCACTGAACAAAAAGTGTGTAAAATCTGATTCAAGCTTTTTTTCATGCATAAATCAAGCGTTTTCTTGTCAGCGGATAGAGAATGATTCTTATTTACAACAGATGTCAGATTACAAAAGCCAAACATAGTTATATACATCTGTCAACACACTTAAAAATAAAGGTTAAACAATTAAAATGCCACAAATCAGCATGATTTACAGAAACCCTCCCTCATTTACTTATGATTTAAGGATCCCAGAAACCAAACAACTACCAGAATATCAAGAAACATGTACAGTGAAAATGTGCTCAGATAAACAACCTTTATATTTGAGTGTATCAAGAATAGCTGATTTTACATGTATATACTATATAGCAGTGGTTCTCAAAGGTTTTTCATCAAGTACCACCTCAGAAAAAAAGTTGTCTTTGCAAGTGTTAGGGCTGTTGCCTGTGTTGTGCTTGCGTGTGTGTGTCATGACGTCACTCACTGTTTGTTTCCTAGAGTCCGCCTTTGCGCACCTGCGGCGAGTTGTGCTCGTTGAAAATTGGCTATAAATACATTGAGCAGAGAGAGAGAGAGAGAGATGAGACTTCACAGCCAGCCTACAATCTTCTTTTTATTTTCTTTAATTTACTGTTTTGTTTGCTTTAAGTCTTACTTTAATCTAATTTGTTAATTGTTGGGTTGTTTGGTCTTAGGTTAATTGTTGTATGTTTGTTGGAGAATGTGAGTTTTTGATTCTTTATTGATTCTTACTTAGTTGTGACACATGATTTGTTTAATTGTTTTGGTTGTAATAATTTTATTAATTTAGACAACCTCGTTTATGTTTACTCTTTATGTTGCATCCCCTTTATGAATTAATTTTGTGTTGTTTTAAAAAAAAAAAAGGGGTTCGTAACAGCAAGTACCATCATAATGAGCAGTATTGAAATACAGTAGCGTATTAGGTCCAGTAAAGCAGCTAAAACTCTGTACAGTTTAAAAATGAGGCAGATTAGTTCCTATTATTACGAACATATGAATTAAAATGTGCGTTTAAAAGTTAAAAAATGGTAGGTTACTGTTCTTAAAAAGTAAAAAGAAAAAAGGGGGAAAATCCTGGTTTATCAGCACCTGGAAATGTTGCTAGACCTTAAATATAGACTTTGTCATCATATTAATATACAAATAATTTGTGATAATTTATTTAAATATATGTAGCATGTACAGACATATTTGATTCATGCACATACCACTAGAAGGAAGCCCGCGTACCACTAGTGGTACACTTACCAGTTTGAGAACCACTGCTATATAGTGTCTTTATCAAAATTATTCTCTCTGACATAATCAATAAACAACCACATATTGATTTATCAATTACTTGATATATAATTCAGATTCTGACCAAGAAAACAAAGTTTTTTGATAAGAAAACAGTTGTGCTTGAGTCTTGAATATGCTCGATTTAAATAGTAATAGCCTTGTTATCAGGGAAACAAAGGACAATTAGGTTATGTACAACCAATGTCTGAAACAGTTGTTAAAATATAACACAAGGAATGCTTGCAATAGGATTTTAAAAAAGAAAAGAAAACATAGCTGCTTGTACGAGTCAGACACCACATCAGTTTTTTTTTGATCCAGGTTGGAACTTTTGATTTTCCCCCTCACAAATCCTGTTTTTATTGATGTGGTTCTGTCGCCATGTAGCAGTATGTGTTCTGTGAACTGTTAATCACTTGCATATTGGACAACCAAAAATAGATTTTACATAACAAAGAGGTTTACTCGAATCGGTTGCAGGCATAAGTGCCGCGTATAAACAAATAGTTTATCTGAAGGTCACACATGTGATGAACTAACAATAAATGAAATGCCCAATGTGTCACTGCTGGTCTAAATTTGTTGCTTTAGCTGCCTCGTACATTCCTAAAGGTACAGCCATTCAGTAAAAGAAAAAAAAAAAAAGATTTATCCAAACAAACTGTGATCAGTTATTTTCATTTCAAGGAGTCTGCAAAATACACAGATGGAGTCAGTATTGGGATTTATGTTTATAGGAGTGAAATGCCCTTGTTGAAAGCAGCAACATTTGTTCAAATCTTTTTTTGGTATATTGAGCGTCAAAGTAGTCTTTAATGATGACTTTGTTTTTAGCTGTGGTACTATTTGATTCTCTCAATTAAAAAAAAGTAATGCTATACAAGCGCAATTGTTATGTGCGCACATGTTAATTACTAATATAAAATGCATCATATAAATGTATGTCTTACATTCTACCTACAACTCTCAACAGAAGGCAGTGATATTTGAATCAGGAATCATCAGAGATTTTTTTTTCTTTCTTTGGTTTGTCTGGAAACACAAGAACACTCAGACCACATCTGCATGTTCAACGAGCTGCGCTGAATCCTCTGATCACAAACATGAATCATTGTGTTCAACATTGTCAACAAAGAACAAAATGTGCTAACATGTTCCTTTCACATAGTGAATAATATAAAAGAGAAAGAAAAGAGTGTAAAACAACAGGCTACCTCCGCAGTACTGTCCTCTCTGTAACTCAGCCAGTCTGCTTACGTCTGCCTCCATGTGGAACCTTCCAGTACTACAGGAAACAAAATCCTTCAAACGGCCGCCGAAAGAGCAGCTCAAACACAAAAAGATATCCCGAAGTCTCTTCAAGTTTCTGTGGTGTTTGTGAAGGAAATCAATTCAGAACCATGCGGATCTCCCTTCGGGATTACTTCTTGGCTAACTGGAACGGATTCTGACCCTTTTGATGAAAGAAACACATTTGTGTTTGATATCTTGCATGGATGTCTTGGTGAGGGAGAAAGCATGTACTCTCAACGGCCACTTTCTTAGGCAGACCCAACTGGAATTTTCAAGTACAATCATCTAGTAATTATACCTTGTAATGTTAAGAAATTTTCTGTGTACAGTATTACAATTTGACACAAATGAACACTGTATAATCACCTGATCTTCAAAGATAATGTGATTTAGATCGGTGTTTCTCAATTACGGACCACCAACACATGTTTTGGATGTCTACTTTGTCTGTCAACCCTTTCAGTCTCTGCTAATGAGCTGATAATCTGAATCTGGTGTGTTTGGTTAAGGAGACTTGTGCAGATTTGGTGGTCCTTAAGAAACGTGGTTGAGAAGCACTGATTTAGCAGTGTTTAGTACTGAGGTGTTGAGTTAGAAATTCTCATATAAAATAAATTAAATAGCATAATTAAAAGATAATGGGAAATTAGCTAATATTCTGTGAGAGTCAGGTTCTTTGGAAATATATTATTCTGCTCAGGTTTATGCCATACTGCAACTACAAATTTTACATAAGCTTTACTTTATTTTTAGGTGAAGGTAGACACCACCATCTGTTTCTTTTCACACAAAATATGGAATGATAAAGACTTCTTTTAAATGTTAAAGTCTGTTGCCTGGAGCTTCAATGAGTTGTCTTGGAAGATATTTGTCGTGAATGAAATTAAAGAAGGGGTTGGGTGTTGGATGGGGGGTTGGGCAATCACCCATATTGCCCATGCCTAAATTTGCCACTGGTCACTTAAAATTGTTACATTGACTTAATTTTTATAATTATGCACACACTTAAAACACCTTATAATTTGAAGTCAAGGGGCTTTATTTGAATGATCTAGGTGCAAAGTCTAAAGTGCATGGTGAAAAAGCATTAAGAGCATGTAAGAACGTGTCCACTTTTGCTATTTTAAGGACATAAAAATACACTTTGCGTCCAGGTATACATGGTCTAACAGGGTTGTGTTTATTCTCTTAATGAGTTATGGATGTGTTTTAAGTATAACATGCTTTAAACCAATCAGAGTCTCATCTCATTCCCTTTAAGAGTCAGTTGCGTCACACCATGGCACATTTGTTATTTACATAGCAGACTTTGTAAGGAAAAAAAAAACTGGACACTTTACTAGTGAGAAAACAGTTAAACAGTTTTCTCACCTCTGCAGCACGAGGATAAAGTATGAGCCTCGTTCATTTGGCCTTTTTACTCTTTCTTTATTTTACTTACTTTCTTTAAAGAAACAGTGTTGTACGCACTTCACTGTAGACATCAATTAGCCTACATATTTAAGGTTTTTGTTAAGCGCAAAGATTTGTTTCAAAACTATTTCTAAATTCAGTTCTAATTTCAAGCAAACTTAATAAATTGGTTATATCCAAACAAACGTCCTGTTCTTATGCCCCATATGGTGATGTAGATGTCTCCAAAACCCGACAGGTGGACAAATCTAAACTTGTTTTTATTCAAACAAGTATAAATATGCATGTAATAAATAATACCACTAATAATAATAACATTATACAAAGGCAAATTGTCATGAATAAACTGAAAAAAGCCCCCAAGATGAAGAAGACATGGAGGCAGTGGTTTTTATATTTATATAGAAAATATTATATTTGTAACATTTCAATCGTATATGGTTTTTAAAATTTTTTTTTATTTGTAAAGATATTTGTGTATTGCAGTACATCCTGTCTGTTAAGCAATGTGTAAGCGTTTGGACCGGCATAGGCGCTAACACGCGCTGTGCTGGACGTTAGAGCAGGTTTTAGATGGTCAATGGTACAGTCTGTTTCAGTTCTTCAAAATAGCAACTTGCCAACAATGCGCCTTAACACACCTCCTTTGTAGACCAGAACACCCGAGTCCACAAAGTGGCGCAAATGGATTTGCTATTGAAACAGTGTGGTGCAAAGCGTGAACATTAGGGGAACATGTTCATGTTTTGCACCACACTGTTTAAATAGCAAATCCATTTGTGCCACTTTGTGGACTAAAAATAGCACCAAATCGCACCAAACACGTCTTGTGCCTTATTGTGCTGGGTGTATGATAAGGCCCAAGATGTTTCTCACTTTTTTTTTTTCATTTTAAGTAAATTAATTGCTTTGAAAGCAACTGGTTTACTCACTTTTTTAAAGTCAACTAAACACTTTTACAGTGTTGAGTCTTGTTTTCTGTGCTACAATGGTATCACAATCTTGCACAGACAACATGAAAGCATTGTTCCATAGTTTAAATTTGGTGTAAATTTCAGTTTTAGGTTGTTTTATTAACGGTTTTGTTTTTATTTTTATATTTCATTTTAAAACGCTGTGCAAACTTCTTAGCTAAAATACAACAATAAACACCACACAAATAAAAAAGTCAAAATTATTACTATTTAAGACAAACTTCTTCATTTTAAAGTAGATAAACATGCCTAGTTTACATTTTTTGGCAAATAAAGAAAAATTTAAAGAGCCCATATTATGGGTTTTTGAAAATTCCCCTCCATGTAGTGTGTAACACAGCTCTAAGTGAAGTGAAGTATCCAGCTAAGGCTTAAATCTGTTAGTGTACAGTGTTTAAAACGGTTGATTCATCTATAAAAGAGTCGACTCATAGTGCTTCAAACGAGTCGCCTTGATACCGATTCATTAGGTGTTTCGCCATGACGTACGAACGAAACCAAGTTATTCACGTGCACGCGCAAACCCGGGAGATTTCAAACCTGAGGCCCCGCCCTCTGACGCAGAAACCCAGACACACACACACACACACACACACACACCCACAAACACACGCACACAAACATGCCGGTCGATTGAAGTCACACTGCAGATGGACATTATCGATTCTCTACCCAGAGATGGAACCTCAGCATTATAACCAAGCAGTTGGAAACTTCTGGAAACTACAGGCTACAAAGAATACTTCATCTGCGTTTGTTAAAGTAAGGATCAGTAAAGAGTTACTTACTAATGGACGTCAGGATGAGTTTCTTCCTCCATTTCTCAAATGTAAGTACGTGCGATTAAAGTTGCCTTGTTGACTCTAGCTTGCAAATGTATTTAGTTGTGATTTGTTACTTGTAACCGAGTGTACTGTATCAGGTTAACTGGCTATATTCTCTTATCGCGTGCAAAGTCACGTTAAAAACGCGACGCGTGCTGTTTGTTTACGGAGCTCCGTGGTAGAGGTCTGCATAAATTTCCGAATCAATCGCGGGAGCGGTCGGTAACAGGTTTAATTTGGGACGGGAGCGGGCTGTCTAGCAATATCGTGAATATTGCTATGCGAATGAGACAGAGCTTTGCCTGCCTGTGTGTCTGCTTGGCGCTTGTGTGTATGTGTTAGTGCGCGCGTATGAGAGAGAGAGAGAGAGCGAGCGAGCTCTGTCTGGCTGTCTTTGGACTGTTTTGCTGGGTGATTTTCGGTTATGTTCTCCCCCGCTCTTTAGCGGGATCGGGCGCGGCGGGCAGAAAACGGGGCGGTTCGGGCACCGGGACAAGAAATTCTAAATATAAGCGGAAGCGGTCGGGTTCAGGCTAAAACCTGGCGGGTGCGGGCGGAAGCGGGAGCGTTGTCGTCCAGAGGTGTGTGTGTGTTTGTGTGTGTGTGTGTGGCAGCTAAATTCCACGCCTACACTATGGAGTGTGTATGAACTGTGATTACTTTTATATTGCTGATTAGCTATTGGGCATTTCATTCTCTGACTGAAGGCAGTCGACCAATCGTGACAGGCTGTCATCGGTCCAATCAGCGCAGATTAGCTTCGCGCTAAGGAGGGGTTTGGGAACAAATGAATCACTGGACGATTCATACAGGAGTCGCTGGGATAATTAGGTAAAAATAAATGCAGATTATAAGACCATGAAAGTGTTTTTTGACTTTGCATGCATATTAGACTGTTGTTTGAGACCCTTACAACCAAGATATGACCCTATTTCATGTATAATATGGGCTCTTTAAACACTTTTTTTAAAGTTAGTATTTAATTTTATTAACATTTAACTTTTTTTAAATATTTAATTTTGTGATTAACCAATGTGTTTGGCTGTCAAAACGCCTACTCTTATTTCTCTAGACTCACTTGTTAATGCTTATTTTATTTCAGTTCCTATTTAATTGGCTGTTGTTAGCTTCAGTTTTTTTATTGTGAAATTTGTATCTTATTTCACTTAATGGAAATGTTTTCTGACCAATAGTCATTTGCAGTAACTGCATAGTCTGCATTGACCAAAACAGACCAGTATGTTTCCAGCACCTTGCTGAATGAAACAATGAGGTCAATTCAGAAAGCAAAGTGTTCCTAATAAAGTGGCCGGTGATTGTACAATATAGAATAATTGAATCCAGAAACATAAGGATGCGGTTTTCACACTTCACAGCAGATGCGAATGCAACAACAAGCACAACTGGAGCATGTGAACACCCAGAGAGAGTTAATTTTTCTTAATCTCTGTGTGAACAACAACATGTCAACACTTCACAAGAAAACAGTTAAAAAAAGAGTGTAAACTACATTAGTGCATTAAATCAAAGAGACATGCTAGGAAACATTTTGGTTGAACCTTTTACAGCCATTTATTAACTTGTATTCCTCATGTTGACAGTATAGCATCTTTGACATTATGGTTGATATGTCTCAAAACTACTTTGGCAGAGTAAAAGCATTAAGGCACGTTAGTATGAGGTATTACAGACAGATAAAAAAGTTTATAGACAATGATTACAAACCATGCTTAATATTAACTGGCAGAAAATGGAACCCAAAATGGAATAGCTTGTCAATGTAAGCAGCAGCAATCCTACACAATCCACTTCAACACTGAAGAAACACAAAACAAATCTGGGCCTTTCTCTATGACCCTGATGTTTATTGGGAATCAATATAATGTAAAATGTATGTTTATAATACTAACTTTATTCTTCATTTGTACTTAATAGTTGAGGTAATCTGG